AGGCAGTTCAGGTTGGCCTTGAGTTCACTTTGTAGCCCAGGCTGATCTCAAACTTGCAATATTTCCTCTGCCTCAGCCTCCCAAGTGCTGGGAGTACAGGCATGTGCCACCATGCCCAGCTGCATAGTTTCTTTAGACAATTCATTTAAGTATATATAAAATCAAATTTAAAAATGAGAAAAAAAACCAAATTCCTTATTTCTGAGGTTAAAACTTCATTTTTTTTTTTTTTTTAAATGTATTTAGTGCAGGGTCTCACTATGTAGATTGGACTTGTAGTGATCCTCCTGTTTTTCGCCTCCCAAGCACTGGGATTATAGGTGCGCACCATCACACCCAGTCTCAGTCAGTCTCAGCACTCCCTGGGGGTGCGGTCGGCACAGCAGGCCTGGCCCTTGTGTCTTCCTAAGCAGGGGCTTTAGTCCGCTGAGCTATCTGGCCAGCTCCAAAGCTTTCATTTGATATCCTTATCTGACTCCAACAACCATGTTCTTGGTTACAGAATCACTCATATAGCTATGCTTCCTTCTCCTAAAGTATTTTTGAAACAATTCCTGTACATTAGTATCAGCCATTAAAAGCTGCATTGGGGCCAGAGATATAGCTCAGCAGCATAAGTGTCTGCCTGGCAAGCACACAGTCCCAAGTTTGATTCCCAGTACTGCAAAAAACAAAAACAAAAAACCTCCGCATTTGCGGCCAGAGTGATGGCTCAGTGGCTTAAGTGCCTACCTGGCAAATATAAACTGGAGTTTAATCCTTGGTACTGGAAAAAAAAAATCTATCTCACCCAAACTGAAGCATTTTTACCCGACCCCCTGTTATATCACCAAGAGAATACCTCTTTTCTTTCATTTTCCCACAGTCGATGACATATACAACATCATCGATAGTTATGGATGTCTCAGCAATGTTGGTGGAAATTATAATCTTAGTTACACCTGCTGGAGGTTTTATAAACACAGCCTGCTGCTCTTCACTGGATAAGGATGAGTGAAGTGGGTGAATAACACATCTGAAAGCAAATAAAAAGCACATTAAAGATGCTGGCACAAAGCGCTGAACTTAGATCTAGTCAGTGTATTTGTACTCAAATTCCCAACATGAATTCAGCTTCTGCACACTATCCTCAAGGTCCAACTCTTCTAAATGGGCAGAGCCTTTCTGAGCCTTATCTAGTAACTAAAAATCAGTTACCAACCTGTGAAAAATAGTAAATAGTCAAGGAATAAATAGTTTAAGATTGTACAAGCAACAAACGTAAAGCAAACTAAGTAGCAAAGAATAATCTTTCCTCTACCTTTAAATTCAGAGAAACAGAGACAAAGACAATGATGTAAGCTATTTCCTCCTTATGCTTCTAGAAATGTTCATCTGTTAGCTGGCTTTCCCTTTAGATATAAATATACACCCTGGGTGCCATGATACTAAAATAGCATTTGAAAATTGTCTTCTCCCAGTGCCCAGCTGGCAAGCATAAGGCTCTGAGTTCAAATCCCAGTACCAAAAAAATATTATTTTCTCTCAAAATGCTAGCATTTTTTTGTTGTTCTGAATGTTACGTTTGCTTCTATCTTCCCCTCCTTACCAGGAATCTGGAAACTAGAATTACACACAAGTATGCTGAGTCATTATGCTAAGTGAAGAAAAGTATCTTTGGTGGGGCAGAGCAACTGATTTCTCCAGGCAAAGAGGCTTGCCCATTTGCATCTGGCAATACCGTGTGCCTAAGGAGAAACACCAGAGTCTACAGAGGCGGGAGACTGCTGAGATCCTTCTGTTACTAAATTCCTAGGTAAGTGCAATAGATAATTAAGGATGTGGAAGCAACTAGCTTACCGATTGCTACGTCTGTTGTTGAAAAGAGCATTAGACTGCAGCTGTTCATACAGCATTTTGATTTCTGCTAGTCCTGGTAAGAATACAAGAATAGCACCTGGGTATAAAAAAAGAATAAGATAAATGAAAAAGAAAAGTTAATATAGATTATAAAGCTAATTTACACCAGCAAATCTTTTTTTTTTTTTTTTTTACCATATTTGGTGCAGGGTCTTACTACACAGCTCGGACTCATTGATCCTCCTGTTTTCAGCCTCCCCAGTGCTGGGATTACAGGTGTGCACCACCACGCCTGGGCTCAGTGGCCGGCTCAGTGTGCCTAGGGGTGGGGCCAGTACAGCATGTGGTGCTGGCGATCACACCCCTGTCCCTGCACTTGCCTAAGCAGGTGCTTAGTTGGCTAAGCTATCTCACCAATCCACCAGCCAATCTTGTAAACTGAGATTTTTTTCACTATCAATTTTCTTTGTCAAGTCCCCAGTGACTTAAATGAGTAAGTTGTTTGCTACACATCCTTAACTTACTAAGGAAAAAGTGGAGTGTCTCTACCTTTCTAAAACAGGAGGAACTGAAGCGTGAAAATGCATAATGCCCCAAGCTAAACAGAACTTGTTAGCCAAGCTCTTTGAACATTTCTTAGTGCACTGCCTGCTGACATTGTTTCTACAGAAAATTATCCTTTGAACCTTATCAGACTGGAAGATTCTTCCTCAATAATTAAACCTATAAAGATTTTACTAAAGATGAGAAAAAGAAACTCACTGAATGGTCAACTGAGTAATCTAAATTCAGATGTATCTTAAAGAGGCAATGTCATATTAATAGCCATGGGGAGCTGGTGAGATGGCTCAGTGGTCTAAAGCACCTACTTAGAACAAGCTTAGCAAAGCACAGGGACCGCGGTTCAATCCCCCAGCACCACATGCCAGCCAGCCCCGCCCCTGGTGGGCTGAGCTGGCCACCCCCCCACAAATAAATAAAATTTAAAAAAAAAAAATAGCTCATGGGCTTCAAAATTCTACATTGAAGGATATGAGCAATAAGAATGGATAGTAGTGGATTACAGTGCCAGGATCAGTCACGTACTCAGTGAGCAGTTACTTTGTTCGTGCTTTATTTACAAAGAGATTGATAGCCTCTCTTCACTAGTTCCTTTCTAGCTCCACAAATACTGGATACCTATGTCGGCTCTGCCCTAGTCCAACAGGATATAAAACAAGAACCTACCCATAAAGAACACAGAGTCTATTATTTAATCACAGTTACTTTCTCCACTACATAAATAAGGGATGTAACTTACTATAAAATGGAACGCTGCAGTAAAAGGGCTGAAATAGATCCTGCAGGACTACTAATACTTCATTCTAGACAGTGTTCATGCGCCTTATCTCACTGGATCCTCCAGCCAGCATGAGGGTGTCAGTTCCCCCACAAGTGACTCGGTAGCTGGGCCACGGCACAGACCCAGACCCAGGAAACTTATCAGACCTCAAAGCCGCAGTCCTGAATGTATTCCTTGCAGCTCCGTGTACAGAGTTTACGGGTCATTCCGGTGCTCAGGACTAGAGTCCCATTCGGCCGGGGTCTGAGCGTTTAACCTGTGGCCTGAACAACAACAGTTACCTGGAGGGTAGGAGTGCTTGCCATCCACAATCCACTCCAATAAGGCTTCTATTAATTCAAGATTAACCTTCTCAAAATCCATGATGGACATTGTTTTGATGACTGATTTGCTGATTCCTGAAAAAAAGGAAAAACTCAGAAGAATAATTATATCTTCTTGAAGACAAAATGCCTGTGAAGGGGGTGAGTGCTGAGTTGACTTAATAATGTCCATATTTAATATACTTAAGTTTTTTATTAGTTTATTGGTATAATTTAGATATACATAATGCTCACATTCATCATAGGGAATTTGTACCTGTACTGATATGTCTTGATTCCTCTTTTTTTCTTTTTAGTCTACCAGAAAATACAGTTTTCCCAGAAGTACTTTTTTGTGAACAATGACCCCAAATGCAGGCTCCTGCCTGTTGTAAAGCTTGATGGGCCGCTGTTAACCCTTCCTTCCTTCCTTCCTTCCTTCCTTCCTCCATTTCACCAGCACATATTTATTGAAACTTTAAGTTCTAGAGACAAAATTCAGAGTCAAACACATTTCAGAAACCCTTTCAGATTTAATCAAACCAATAGACATCACCTGGAAGTCCAGGTAACAGTAACTTGTGGAAGGAAATGGACAGAGACCATAGCCTTTACTAGCTTCTGGGCTGGTCAGCTAGCTAGCCAGCCAGCCTACCTACTTGCCTGCCTGCCTGCCTGACTGTCCATCCGTCTGTCTTTCTGCTTGTGCACTGGGCAATGTACCCTGGGAGTGTCAAGCCTGTATCCTCAGCCCTTTCTTTGTTAAATCTGAGACAGGGCCTTACTAAATCACTTAAGCTGGCCTCACACGTGCAGTCTTACTCCCTCAGACTTCCACGTAGCTGGGATTCTAAGCATGCACTACTGCACCTGGCTTTTTAAATAAGGAAGAAGCAGCTCAAAAAACTAAGCAAACCCATAGAGATCATGTATAGATTATGTTGTTTACTGTTCTATGCAACTCCATTATTTAGATAGAGAAGCTGAGACATAAAGAGGATAAGGAGTTTGCTGAAGATTATGTATATTTTTTTTTTAAGAAAACTCTGGGAGTTGAACCCAAGTCTCTAAGAAACAAATCTCTTCCGCCCTTACACTTCAAGATATTGGGAGTAAATAATGTTTCGGGCTATGTGCACTTCTTATATTACAGAACAGTGGCTAGTCTCCTTACTTCTGATTACCATTCCTCATCCAGAGTTGGGAATAGTCTTTGGAAAAGGTCAAAAAAGAAAACTCACTTGCCTCTTACCGCACAGAAGCAGTAACAGTAAGGGGCTGGAGGTTCTTTCCTATGTAAGGCAAACACCTTCTTTTTGCTTCTCACTACACAGAACAGGGATGGAAGCCCAGAGAATATAAAGGGCAGCCGAGGGCTGTCACTAGTCTAAGCTTTAAGGAAGAAGGCGAAGAAGAACTACAGATTTTCTGTATATTCTGCCCAGCTTATGCATAAGCACAGAAAACCACACAGGTTCAGAGTATCTGTATGACAACTGGCATGGGAGGAAGAAGCACCTAGTGACATAAATCAAAATGCTCAGTACAGATGCTACTGTTCTGATTACTGGAAGCAGGGTCTCACCATGTTGCCCAGTCTGGCCTCTAATTCCTGGGCTCCAATGTTCCTCCTGCCTGAACTTCTCAAGCAGTTGGGACCAGTTATATGTCACCATGCCGAGGTAAGTCATGTTATTTTAAAATCCTGTGACTAAGGCTAAAACTACTGGGTGAAATTTACAAGATATATATCATCTCTAAATAGTCTCAGATGTCTCTACAAATGACATAACAAAGGGAATAAACTGGAGCTATGCAGGACAGAACCTTAACTAAGTGACCCAGTTAGCTTCACTAATGATGGGGAAAATCAACATTTTGTACCTCCTGATAAACACTAAGAACATTTTTTTTATGTACTTAGTACAGGGTCTCACTACACAGATGGGACTCACAGTGATCCTCCTGTTTTCAGCCTCCCAAGTGCTGGGATTACAGGCGTTCACCACCACACACATTAAGAACATTCAGCCCTAATTATGCAACTTAAATTTAATTAAGGGCAAATATCAGACACACTTCAATGAAAGGACATTTACAGAATCATCTTTAAAACTGTCAAGGTCCCAAAAGCAAATAAAGCTAAGGAGCTGTTCCAGATCTAAGGAAAGACACAGGGATACTAAATGCATTACGTGGTTCTGGATAGGACTCTGGACCATGAGGAAAGAGCAATGATAGACACTACTCAGATAACTGGTAAAATGTAAACATGGACTACTTGGATTAACCAGATTATCAGTGGTAAGTGTCCTCATCTTGACCACTGTAATGTATTTTTATGTAAGAGTGCATCCCTATTCTTAGCAAGCACACATCAGTCTTAGAAGTAAAATGGAACAGCACATCTGAAGTGTACTCTCCAAAGATTCAGGAAAAAGAAACAAACATACACACAGAATCAAAGACAATGACAGAGCAATTAAAGTAAAATATTAATCAGTAAATTGGGGCAAAGGGTATAGAAGGCTTACTGTAGTTCTGCAAATTCTTTTCTAAATTTTAAGTCAAACTGCAAAGATATAAATTGCTCAAAAACAATTTATATTTTATATTTATTTTATTTTTACTTATTTTTAAATCAATGAAAAGTTATACATTGGTCAAGAATATAATTTTTATTTTATTTATTTTTGAGACAGTCTCATGATTTAGTTCGGGCTGGCCTTGAACTCAGCAATCTTGCCGCTTCGTCTCTCAAGTGCTGGGCGTACAGGTGTGTGCCACCACACCCGGCCACTCAAGTATATAATTTACATTTTACTCCCTCCCAATTTTTCTCTAATGGCACATATTTCTTAATAATCAGAAAAACCTCACTGGCAAACACAGTAATAACATAATGTAAATATGCTTTGGACCTGTTACTTTTCTAAGTTTAAGGTTCTGATGGCAATAACTGTACAATAAAGATTATATTTTTCTTCTTCTGGCCCATGGTGGGGAACAATACTAGAAAATTTCAGCATAATCAGTGTTTCTCTGGAAAGAAGTTTACCTTTATAGCGGACCAGGAGCTGCTTAAAATCTAACTGTTGATCGGGCACCGCGTCTTTGACGGACTCCAGGTCCTGGAGGTGGAGCGACAGCCGCAGGTCTTCTTCCACTTCCTCAAACGCAGTTCTGCTGCGCCTCGCTTTCAGTTTCTCCTTCTCCATCTGCTTTACGGAGCGCACATAGGGGCTCCCGTCATGTAACACGTACCTGTGAAGAAAGATGAAGGAATGTGAGCGTGGTGGGAGGTTGTTGGTGAGGAACGAAAGCATTCACCTACTTTATATGCTTAGGAAGTGGAACGCTGCTCTGTTCTGTCCCACTCAAGTGCTATCCTTCCTCCAGCTTGGGATTCTGCTGGCTGTGCCCTAGTTTTCTTTGGCAACACACTGGAATGCCTTTGATTCTGTCTAGGAAATCAGGTCAGAATTTGCAGGAAAGCCCTATCTGGGAAAAAGGGCACAGACAGTCAGAAGACACACCTGGGCAGTACCCGCGGTAACACTTCCCTTGCTTTCTTTTCTTCCATGCCTGTTGGCTCCACACCCAACAGCCTCAATTGTAATTCCCAGGCAGTGGACTCCTCTTGTTGCATCCAAATCTGGATCCAAAAATAGACTTAAACTTCACTTGCACAAAGTTCTACACTGAACATCTCTATAAGACCATCCTCAAAGTATTTCAAAACTCTTATTAGATAGTTTAGCTTCTGTGAATAATACTATTAGACATTATGGCAACTGAAAAACAACCATATTTGAAACCAGAAGTTCTGTATTTGAGTTTTATGCCACAAAACTTTTAGCAAATCAGTATCAGAGACCTCAATGATTTTCTCATCATGTGGGGGAAGTGGCCTAGGTAACTGCTTTGAAGCTATCTTTCTTAAGCCCTAAATGTTGCTTAGATCCCCTGGGGAAAGGTAAGGGATGGGAGCATGGCAGGCAAGCAGGGGTTCTATTCCCCTGACCTTAGGTCACTCCTGTTTTTTTATTTATTATTATTTTTTTTATGCTCTCCTATAAAATTTCATTTGCAGATGAGCTAGGCATGGTGGCACACAACTATAATCCCAGTACTCATGAAGCTGAGGCAGGAGGATAGCCATGAGTTTGAGGCCAGCATGGATTATATAGTGAGGCTCTGTCTCAAAAAAAATTTTTTTTCATTTGCAGGAAGTGTACTTTAGTTTTAAAGTGAGGTCTAAAGGCCAAGGATGCAGCAGTGACTACAGCACTTGCCTAGCATGCATGAGGTTCTAAGTTCAATTCCCAGTATAAAAATACTCAAATAAACAAAGACATAAAGAAACAAAGAAATAAAATGAAAACATGGTCTACAATGGACTATATAGTGAGACACAGTCTAAAAAAGAATGTGGACCTATAAGGGAAGTTCTTTCAATCTCTTTCTTCCAACCAATGTCTTGACCTCTTTTCACATTCAACATTCACTTGTTCATTTAACATTTACCAAATGCCTGTTCTGTGACAGGGACTGGTCATGACATCATAGTACATAAGAAAGAATATTATTCAAGAAATCTGGCATTGGGGCCAGGGAGATGGCTCAGTAGAATAAGCTCTTGCCTGGCAAGCACAAGGGCCTGAGTTCAATCCCCGGTTCCACAAAAAAAAAAAAAAAAAAAAAAGAAATCTGGCATTGACAGAGTTCCCCTGGAACTGCTCCACAGGGGAGGAGGGGGAGGGGGAGGGGGAGAGATGGAGGGAGACAAGGAGGGAGAGGTGGGGGAGGGAAAGGGAGAGGCGGGAGAGGGAGAGGGAGAAGAAAAAAAAAAAAAGAGAAAACCCTACAAGTTCTCAAGAAGAAGTAGCTGATTCATACAGAGGAAAATTTCATTCAAGTTGGATGTTACAGAATGACTAGATAAGCAAGAAGAGAGAAGGAATCAAGATGTAACGTAACAGTATGGCCTATGTGAGAAACACTAGGTCAGATAGCATTATGGTTTGTGTGGACAGGAGAATGTGGAAGGAAGGTAAAACAGGCTGCAGCCAATTGATATGTGCCAACTGTCCAGAGTATGGGTTACAGGAAGCTGGAGAAAGCCCATAAGAAGAGAAGGATTCTGACTCACTCCTCTAGGCAGTGAGTTAGAAAACTCGAGCAAGGCGATTTCCTCAGAAACTCATATTCAAGGGGAATAAGGCAGGACCTAGGTCTTCTCATAACAGTAAAATCTGAGAGCCAGAGGTTTTGGGTTTTTGACTTGATAATGCTATCCCATCTAATACATGTGGAGCTGGGCATGGTAGTGCATGCCTATAATCCCAGCACCTGAGAGGCTGAGGCAAGAAACACCTTGTGAGTTCAAGGTGACATGAGCTAAATAGTGAGTTCAAGGTGAGTCTGAACTACATAGTGAGATTCTGTCTCAATGAATAAATAAATAAATCACATACACATGAAATAGCCCTTATTAGGTGCTACACTTTAGATGTCTCAGAAGGTATCACGTGATCCTAGGTAGGCGTTAGGAAGGTGAGGGGATGTGTGTGCTACAGATGACTTGCTGTTAGGAGGGATCTGGCTGAAGAGAGAGTCACTGAGGATGACTTGAGGGTGTACCCTCCCCCCAGCTCCTCCCTGCTGCTTCCTGTGCTCCTTGAGGTAAGCAGCTCTTCTTCACCCCAGCCAGGCCTTCCATTATGCCATTAACCATGCAGACTGAAACTTCTCAGATGTGTTGAGGTGCTGGGCATTTTGTCCCAGGATGAGGAAAGTGACTAAGACATTATGGGCAGTTGGGGAAAACTGAGTTGTACTTAAAGGTGCTGGGTCTCAAAGGAGTTTTCATCCTAGAACATAGAAGTTGGCAATGAAGACATTGTTCTTGTCACAGAGAGCTAAGATGCTATGAATATAAGGTAGTAAGTGGGAAGCTTCATTGTGAGAAGAAACACGGGAGGGATAAAATCTTGGGGATTCTCAAGGTTAAAGAACAGTAGAGAATTCTGGTTGTCTACAATGGTTATTTGCATTTTCTACTCAATACTGAAATCATTTACAGAGATATTTTGCTATCCAGATTGTACTACAAGCTCCTTGAGAGCAGAAAGATAAGAGTAATAGCTAACTTTTGAAAAGTATATCCATACGGGGAGCAGTGACACACACCTATAATTCCAGCACTGGGAAGCTGAGGCAGGAGGACTGCCACAAGTTCAAGGGCTACATACTGAGTTCAAGGCCAGCCTGAAGTACACAATGAGATCCTCAAAAAGTAACCCTTCCCCAAAAGCAGGTCCAATGAGGCAGGCACAGCTCTAACCTGACAATCTTTAGCTCTCTGATCAATTGTCATCATACACCTGTGAAGCAGCTATTAACATCCTCATTTATGTATGGCGAAAGTGAGACATGGAATTTATACTACTTGCCAGACTTACAGTTAGTAAGGAGAGGGATTTAAACTCTGGCATTCTGGGGCCAGCGAGATAGCTCATCAGTCTAAAATGCTTAGGCAAGCTTAGGCAGCCACAGGTGACCGCAGGCCGTTTGATCCCTGGCACCACATGCTGTACCAGCCCTGCCTTCAGGACGGGCTGAGTCGACAAAAAATAAAAAATAAAAAAACAAAACAAAACAAAAACCTCTGGTAGGGGCCAGGGAGATGGCTCAGTAGGATAAGTGCTTGACTGGCAAATGCAAGGATCTGAGTTCAATCCCCGGTTCCGCCAAAAAAAACCCCAACCCGCTGGTAGTCTATTTGCTGAAGGAACGAAGAAAACAAAGTACTGAAATGGAAAAATCAGTAGAAGGACTAATACCTGTATTAGTATAATGGCATATTAAGGTATGACAAGATTTGATGAACCTTAACGTTTTGTTTACCTTGTCATAGAAACTGCATCTTCCAGAAAAAACTGATCCACAGGAAAGGTACGACCTAGAAAAACAAAAAAATATACAGAAAAGTTCTCAGAACACCCATTAAATTACCTTGCAATAGTTTTTGTTTTTTTTTTTTCTTTCCCTTGAAACAGGGTCTAACTACACAATTCAGGCTGGCCTTGAATTCACTTTGTATTCCAGGCTGGCCTTGAACACATGGAAATCCTCCTGCTTCAGCCTCTCAAGTGCTGGGATTGTAGGCATGCTCTTCCATGCTCAGCTTACCCAAAACTTTTTAAAGTCATATATAAAACTGAAGTTTCTTGGCAAGTGGATATATTACCTCCTTATTAATTGTATCATATGGATATGATTATATTTGTTATAAATGTTCTCCTCTAGAATGAGGGATAAGTACCTAATAATTTATTTCTCAAGTGAATTTTAAAATAATTATATTTGCTTATTAGAATGATACATATGTAATGATGCATTTAGTCACCTGGTATAGTAATAACTGGGCAGGAATTGAAATATTCTGAAAAGAGTTCAGCATTTAAAGTCGCACTCATTAGAATGACTTGAAGAGTTGGCCTCTGTGACACAATATCCTTCAAAACTAGCAGCAAGAAGTCACTAAAGGAAATAAAAGAAACATCTGAGGATCAATCAAATTCAGTCAACACATATTAGCAACTTTTGATGTATTTGGTGCAAGGAATAGTTAAGACTCATGGGAAAAAATGTAACTCCTAGGAAGACGTGTCATGCTCCTGGTGCGAAGAGATAGGGTCTGGCCCAGGAGGAATTGCTGAATTATTATGGTGGTCATCTAACATGGCTAAAGCCTAAAACAACAGCTTATCTTCCCAGAGACCACCTCCCCTCTTTTTCCCAACCCAGTCCTGGACACAATTTCCTTTCACTTTTCCCATGCCACAAGGGAGACCCCAATCAGCTCAAGTGTCATTAAACCTGCCCCTCAAACTCCGCCCCAGACAAAGGTTAAGTCTCAGCTCCCACTGTCTCAGGCCAGAGGATCCCCCCATCTCCCTTGGATTCTCTCTGTGTCTTTCAAGTCAATAAAGGCCTCTTTTATCTTTCCTCTCTCTTTATCATGCCGCCGAAAAACCTAACAAATATCATTAGGCTACTGATTCCCAAAATAAAATTAGTACAGTATCAATCACAATACCCACAGGATTAATGAACAAGTTGATAATTCTACTTCTTGACATCTACAAGAACATACAAAGGCATATCCAACAATCTGCATTATAGCACTGTTTATACTAGTAAAACACTAGAAATTATCAGATCCCCATCGAAGTGGTGACTGTAACAGTATCTGGTCACCAGAGTAACACAAGGTGGATTAAAATAAAAAAGAACTACACATAATAGTGTGAAAACACCCTTAAGACTTGTCAGAAGAAAAAAAAAAACCTAAGTTGTACAATAACACATAATATAGGAAAGAAATACCCAAGTGGTCTCTTCATTTCTGTCCCGATACAGCAATTAGTAATTCTGTTCAAATACCAACAGGAATGTACCGTTCTTTGCAAAAGCCTTCAGTGATTTCTCCTTGGAGCCTCTGATAACAAAGCTCTAGACAGGGTGTGCAGCTCGCTCTACTCACATCCTTCTGCCCACCTAGCCCGCTGCTCGCCCCTGAACTCTCCCAGTCTCCTCCACTGTCCCGAGGTTGGTCCCCTTACTCCCCCCAAGTCTTTCTCAAGAGATAACTTTCCAGCAGGGCCTTTCTCACCAGATTTAAACTCCAGTGCTCCCTCCTTTACGTTTTTGTTGTGATTTCCCTGCTTTATCTTGTTTTTTCCTCTCTTCCTTTTATTTCCCCAGGACTGGGGGTTGAACCCAGCTCTGAATACAGACCTATGCCTCTTTTTACTTTCTGCTACCTTGCCCAGCCTAGACTTTAACTTGCAATCCTCTAGAACCATGACCAGGATATACTAAGTGTGCAATGAATACTCCTTAACTTACAAAATGAGCTTAGCACTTGTAATGTGTATTTGAAAATAAAGTTCTCTAAAAAGTAAACATATATATATTTTTTTAATTTTTTTTATTTATTTGAGAGAGAGAGAGAGAGAGAGAGAGA